AGCTTCTTTCTCCACCATTGCTCCCCCAAACACACCCAGAGGCTGGCTTGCTCTCTCTCTCTCTTTTTTTTTTTCTTTCTTTCGGGTTTTTGTTTGTTTGTTTTTATTTTTCGACACAGGGGTTTCTCTGTATTGCTTTGGAGGCTGTCCTGGCACTCACTCTGGAGACAGGGCTCGAACTCACAGAGATCCCCCTGCCCCTGCCTCTGCCTCCCGAGTGCTGGGATTAAAGGCGTGCGCCACCAAAGAGGCTTTCTTTGAAACAGGGTCTATGTAGCCCGGGCTGCCCTGGAACTGGCTATGTAGACCAGGTTGGTCTCGAGCTCTGAGATAGATCTCCTGCCTCTGCCTCCTGAATGTGGGATTGAAGACCACGCATGCATGCACAGGCGTTAGTAATTAACTCAATCATGTTAGTTTACAATTAAGTCCCTTGGCCAATCTGATCATGAAGTAGTGTGGGTATTTAAAATTTCGGAAGTAGCCGGGCGTTGGTGGCAATGCAGAACCTACCTGGGATGGGAGTGACACGGGCCATCACTAATGTGTTTGGGATGCTGACCTGGAGCCACACCTGGGGTTCAGATCTTTTGTCCAGAAACTGTGTTTGGCTTCCTAATAAGCTGTATTTGGGAGTTTGTACATGTGTGTGCTGGGCATACACTAAGCAGGGGCTCTATGGGTGAACAAGCCACCTCTATACCTTATAGCTGAGTAGTTTTTGTTTTTTTAGATTTTATTTATTATGTATACAGTCTTCTGCCCACATGCCAGCAGAGGGCACCAGATCTCATTCAAGGTGGTTGTCAGGAATTGAACTCAGGTCCTCTGGAAGAACAGTCAGTGCTCTTCACCGCTGAGCCATCTCTCCAGCCCCTAGCTGAGTGGTTTTTGATAGCTGTTTTTCTTGCATGACTCCAGGCTGTGGAAACCCTTCTGTTTTAGGCTGGGATCTCCCCAAATATCCCTGGTAATCCAGTTAACTGTTTAAAAACAACCATTCTCGTCGGGTGGTGGTGTCGCATGCCTTGAATCCCAGCACTTGGGAGGTAGAGGCAGGAAGATTCTCTGTGAGTTGGAGGCCAGCCTGGTCTACAGACTGAGTTCCAGGACAGCCAGGACTGTTTTACAGAGAAACCCTATCTCAAAAGCCAAACCAAACAAAAACCCCATTCTCCACTTCAAATTAGAAATGGTGTCTTTTCCAGCTCC